ATCATTTGTCGTTTTTAAATTTTATACACCGCAATATCTTATTTAGTCAAGTTTCTTGAATTTGTTTTTCTATCAATTTTATTTTTAAATTTTACGTATTATTATTGTAGTTTCCGTTGTAGTTGTTTTATTCGTATTTATTATTAAAAATTGTTATTTTTGTTATAATAATAATAAATTAAAAATAATAACACCTTCAGTTTATTCCACAAATGTCCATTCCCCCACAGCACCGAAACTTCCCTAAAAATTTATTAAATATTTACTTGCAATATTCGGAATATTTAATTGCAATGTTTATTTAAAGTTGTGTACAGATTTAAATGTCCCGATTAAATAAATGTTTATAGCGCGAAGCTTTCCTGAACATTTTAATAAAATCTTCGCATAATTATAATTATAATTATGCGAAAATTTAATTTCATGTTCAGGAAATGTTCAGGAAAGCTTCGCGCTAAACATTTATTTAATCGGGACATTTAAATCTTTACACAATTTTCACTAAACTTTTCAGTTAAATATGACGAATATTGCAAGTAAATATTTAATAAATTTTTAGGAAAGTTTCGGTGCTGTGGGGATTATTACATTAGTTGTAAAATAATTGTATAATTTGTAAAATACATTTTCGACTGCATTTTATTCTGATATTATGATATAATATTTTCCATGCAAACTTTTTAAAAACTACGAGGAAGAGCAGTATATTCAATTATTATTATTATTGTACGAGTGCGTTCAATAATACCATCTGGGAGCACCCATTTTTCATCCATCTTTAAATAGGTAGGTGGTGGTGAGTGAAACTTTCACCCGGATCCGTTCAAAATAATTTTTCACTCTTCATTCACTCTCGAAAGTTCTGCCTTTCTTGATTCACTCCACGGGTGATTGCACAGAAAATGTAAAGAAGTCCATATAAAGTTTCATGTATGTATGTCACAAAAGCTTTGTGAGCCAATCACACAAAAACGCCTGGACCGATTTAAATGAAATTTTACAGAGCGTTAAGTATTCACCCAAGAAAGTTCACAAATTTGCAGATTTAAAAAATATTAATTAGAACGGGAGATATTCAATTTTTTCGAAAATTTCCAAATTTTACATTTTTTTATGGATTATTGCTTCTAAACTTTTTATAGTTGAGTATTATACATGTTATTAAGTCGTATTTTAGCATAATTTTGCAATAAAATACTATTCTATAAGTAAGATGTAAATATAAAAATATTTTCAGAAAATCAAAAATTTCTAAATTTCACATTTTTTAATGGATACACTGAGAGAGATCTTTGGGCCATCAGCAGATTTTCGATAGGCTGCTACTGACCATTTTGGTGGAACGCTACAGGACTATACTTTTGGGTTGCTGCGGTACATAATTTTGGGCGCGTGACAGTCCAAAAGTTGTTTAGCTGCAAACCAAAGGCGGCATCCCCACTACTTCGGTGAGCTGCTTACCAACATTTTAGACAGTCACGCGCCCAAAATTGTATCGCAGTGCACCAAAACCATAGTGGAGCTGCTATCGCATACGCCGTTCCGCTACAGTTTAAAAGGTCTCTCAGTGTAGCTTTTAAACTTTTTATAATTGAATATTACATGTTATTTAGTCACATTTTAGCATAACTTTGCAAAAACTACTATCCTATAACGAAGATGTAAATATAAAAAAATCGAAAAAATTATATTTGGTAGGGGAGATTGGGGAATTGCGGGCCATGGGGAATTGTGGGCCACCCAATTTTTTTTTATTTTTTTTTGTTCATCCAAAGTAAATTTTTTATTAGCATTTCATAACTTTACAACGCTTTACAATTACTTATAAACCGTAAACAAAAATCACCTGAAAAAATTGCATTCAAATATTTATTTTGGGCCTTCATATTTTTATTGTTTTTACAAGGATTTTCAAGAATAAATTATGGAAAATATTTTTTTTATTATTGTGTGACATTGGTACTTTGACTCCAAAAAGAAATTTTGCGTCAAATTAAAATGAATAACTAATACAAAGCTTTTTGTAAAATGAAGCATTTGGGGAATTGTGGGCCACTTTTTTTAGGGAAGTATTTTTTGCTTGTTTTTGGCGATTTAATTTCACAATGCAGCTGTACATATTATTAAAATCACTCATAGCTATAGTAATTTATCAAAAACAATTCGATTCATTGCGATTCATGCGATAAAGCTGATCACTTGAAAATTTGTAATTAAAGCAGCCTATTTTACTTATTCAATTTGTGATTCCGATTAATTTAATTTTCTTACTTTTTCTTTTCTAATTTTAAACTAATAATTAAACATTTATAACATTTTCAATATTTTTAACCATTTAATAAATATATTTCTTCGTTATTTTTTATTTTGAACTCAATTTAGGCAGTGGCCCACAATTCCCCAACATTTTTAAAAATCATAAAATTGGACTCTTTGGTAAAACTGAAATTTCTTTATGGTAAGTAATAATTTTGGGAAACTGACTGTGATATATGTTAGTTTATACCTCCTACTGACACGAATCATTTAAAAATTTTAAAACAAAAATTTTGTGTGTAAGATATTGAGCTAAAAAAGTGTGGCCCACAATTCCCCAATCTCCCTTACCATTTAATATAAAGTTTAAAGATTTAAGAAATTTTAAATGAAAGTTAAAATTTATCATAAATAAGGAATTAAAAGAATTTAATAATTTTTTTACTAAAAAACATTAAGATTACGAATAAGTTTGGTTATGTTGAAAAGTTTTTTAATTGAAAATTCCTTATTTATACTTTTTTCGTAAATTCAACAGTAACAGATGGATTTTTGAGGTCTTTAATATAATTCTATGCTTATCTCTATTCTTTTGGAAAATAGAGTTAATAACTATTTTTGTTTATCCAATTACAGTAGAATCCCGCTTATCTGAGCTTCGCTTATCCGAGCTTCCGGGTTATCCGATGCACCTTGCGCTCTGACCAATCCGCATTATCCGAGGTGCAGCTCGGATAATACGGAAAGTGCCGTGGCTTATGAACACATAAACTTGTTATAACACGATTTGTGTGCCCTACGGTTGCGAGTTTTGTGTGCATATTTCATTCTTCCATTCAAAATACATAAAAAATTATTAAAATTTTCAAATTCTTTATTTCATCCGTGTTATCCGAGTTTTCGCTTATCCGAGGTGCCCCTTCCCCACATTACCTCGGATAAGCGGGATTCTACTGTAATCCAATATTATTATTAATCCAAGAACTTCAGAAGTATTGAAAATGGAGATATTTTATGATTAAAATGATATTGCAGGATTTCAAGAATTGTAAGTCACCTGTGATGCGATACAGACATTATGCTACTGGGTAAAAATTTAGATGTTAAAAAGTTTTGTTATTTTAATTCTAACAAAAACCTATTTTAACTTTTAGAGATGTTTTGAGAAAATGTAAAGACAAAAGTTAAACACGGTGCCTATTTTTGTTTAACAAAATTTCCGACTTTGTTTAACTTTTTCCTGGTTTATCTTTTCTCATCAAATTTAAATTTATTTATTTTTAACTATAAATAAATCTACAAATGGCTACTAAAATTTACTTATTTTATAAAAATACTCTTTTTTAAGTTCATATAAATATAGATTATATTACTAGCTGTCGTACCCGTATTCGACGGGTTTTTGTTTCTACTAACACATTTAATAGAGTGTCTACCAAACAGGAAAAACAGGAAATATACGGGAATTAAATATGACCGGGAAAAACTGGGAATAAGTCGGGAATATGCCAAACCGGGAATTTTCTTATCAAATTAAATAAAATTTTATTATATTAATTCCGCTTTTAAAAAATTGATTTTTAATATAATTTTTATTGATGTAATATTTATGAAAACAGACTTGAGATAAAATTAAAGCCCTACTTTCAAGTTACAATACTGCCGTACTGACGAAGAAAGTCACTATCTACATTTTTGACAAAAAATGAGTTTTTTTATACCGTTAGATTTGTAATAAAATAAAAATTAGAATTTAACTGTGCAATCCATAACTAAAAATATTAATTAGCTTTGGAGATAATTAATGCTGAATTGTGATATCTACATCGATTTTGGTGAAATACTGACGAAGGAAGTCACTATCTACAAAACACCGGTCCTATCTACAGAAATGGTACTATCTACAGTTTTTTATATAAACAATTAAAATTAATAATTTTTTATTGTATCAATCGATAGAGCGTGTCCGTTTTACTCGAGAACGATGAGTTTTCTTCCAAAAAATGGAATATACAATAAAAGGTACTAATGCAAACGCGTTTCATTAAATATCTCCGTTCGACCTAAAGTAGAGTCTACATTCCATGGTACGCGAACGTGAACGTGTACGCGAACGTCTGACGTCACCCATGCTATTAAGTAGAGTCTACATTCCATGGTACGCGAACGTGTACGCGAACGTCTGACGTCACCCATGCTATTCAAAAATGGGTGACGTCAGCACGGCAACGTTCGCGTTCATCCAATGTAGACTCTACTTAAAATGTAGATAGTGACTTTCTTCGTCAGTACGCGGCAGAATATAGGTCTTATTTTATATTTTAGTTGTCGTAACGTAGGGTCTACTTGCGATACAATTAGTTCGAATTAAACTACTATAACTCCAAAAACTGGTGGAAATTTAGAATTGATTTTTAATACATTAATAAAAGTTCTACAAATTGACAAATATTGTTCTCTGCATTTTAATTAGTTAAAAATAACTAATTTGATAATAAAAAGTTAGTCCCTGATTCAGGTAGTAATATTTTTTCACTGAAATAGTTAATGGTAACTAATTATTATTTTTTCCCGGTAAAATTAAATTCCCAGATATTTCCCGGTTTTCTAGATTGGTAGACACTCACTGATAAATGCAATGTTACAAACTAAAACCCGTCGAAGACGGATACGACAGCTAGTTTTATATATATATATATATATATAAGTTTTATATATAAATTCAAAGAAATCTTATTTTTAAGGTTCTATGGCAACCTGATTATGAACCTTATGTAGTGGTTCCAAGTTCAGCACCAAAATATGATACAAGATTCATTGGATTTGGGTGGAATAAAGTTTCGCATGTAACGCATTTAACAGCAATTGGATACAAGTAAGAAATTAGAATCTTATGTGTTTTTCACCAAATAGTACTGTCAATCTAGCCTGAAAAAGCCGTTTTTTTGGAAAAAATACCTTACTCGAAATTATTACATAAATCGTTAGTGGCACATGTGACTAGCTTAAAACCAAAAAGTTGGGACACCCCCCCCCCCCTTTGGGGGTGTCCCAAACTCAAAATTTCTTTGGATTTGATTTTGTACGAAAACCGTAAATTGTACTGAAAAATTTCTTGAATAAAAGTTGTAGAGAACAAATTTCTCTACATTTTATCTCATTGGGCCCCTACTGTACAACTTAATGTACGAAAGCTAGAGGGCGCCAAAATTGTAAAGAATCAGTTTTTCCCCTTTTTCGTATCAAAAAAACAATTTTTGCGTTTTGGTATAAATAGAAAAGTTGTAGAGCTTAAAAAAACCTACAAAATCCATGTATACATAATTTTTTTCTACATTTCACTCTTTCGAAGGTACAGTCTATTTATTAATTGTTACGTATAGGTAATCCATATAACACAGGACCACAAAAATTTTTTAAAGGAAATATTGACAAGGACATGTTTTTCATATGTTTTTTGGGACGCTGAATTCGAATCCGAACTCAGTTTTGCGCCATCACGTCAAGTTTCTTCAAAATGGCGGATCCAATATAGCTGTCGAATTTTTTAAAAATTTATCAGATTTACTTGAAACTTCTTAGTTAAGGGTTTTTGGGGTCGCTGAATACGAATTTTACCTTACTTTTAAAAAATTTAAAATGGCGGATCCAATATGGCTAACGAATTTTTAAAAAATTTATTAGATTTTGAATTTTTGAAAACTAAGGTGAAATTCGTATTTATCAACCCCAAAAACCCCCGAGTAATATAAAGGCGCTCGCACAGCTCTACTGCCTGCTTGCAGGTTGTCATAGTAACACATAAGAGTAAGAGAGTCAGAAAATTCAAATTAAATGTTTTTTCTCCCTTACTCGCATTGCGCCTGCCTGCACAGGCAGGCAGGCAGTAGAGGTGAGAGAGTACTTTAAGTTTCGACGAATTAAGTGAATTTTGAAAAAATTGACGCTATATTGGATCCGCCATATTAAATTTTGAATATTTACGAGTTTTTTTGATTGTTTAACATTATATAATATTTTTCAAGTGCGTTAAAGTTGTTTTTTAATAGATTCTTCTGCTTATTTTTATTTATACCTTGTTAACAGTCAGTTTTTTGCGAAATTTATTAATTTGTGAAGAAACTTGACGTGATGGCGGAAAACTGAGTTCGAATTCAAATTCAGCGACCGAAAAAACTTAAAACATGGCCCAGTCAATATTTCCTTTAACAAATTTTTGTGGTCCTGTGTTATATGGATTACCTATACGTAACAATTACCAAGTGGGCACACTTGTTCAAAAGACGTCCTAAGGATGTCTTTTTGCGGACGTCTTTTGGACTTGTACAAAAAGACGTCTTAAAGACGTCCTATACACGAAGAGAAAAAAAAGAGAGCCGTTTGATTTGGCAAGAGAGCGCTATTTTCCTCTTATAAAGCACAGCAGTAGCGCCGCAAACGTCGAACGGTTATACTTTTTGAGGAGTATCGGTTCTCTTCTCCACACAAATAGAGCCGCTTACTTTCCAAAAAGTGTACCCGCTTTCCCCAAAAAGGAGAACCGTTCTCCCCTCGAGAGTAAGCAGCGTGCTTAACCTCAAGTTGAACGGCTGTTTCGCATTTAACGCAACCGCTCTACCGACAGGTAGAGCCGTTTACTTTTTTTTCTCTCCGTGTACATGTTCTATGTCTTGGCCATTAGATGTCTTTAAGATGTCTAAAAGACGTCTTTTTCATTCAACATTTGAAAAATTTTCATAAATAGAAAATTTTATTTTCTAACTTTAACTTTGACTCAGATATTCATGAATGTAAAATTCATTGGAACTTTTCTAAGTTAAATTCATTTCATTGACAAGTGAAATCGTTAACTTTGTAGAGGTTCATATCTGTCTTGAACGGCTGAGGTGCTTAAGGCGCAGTGTTTCAAGCTCAAGGTATCCGAGTTCGATCTCAGCTTCGTAAGAACTTTTCATTATTTCTCCACATTTTAGAAAAAATAAAATTATACTTAAAATAAATTTAATACAATATTACTGAGTTTCAACTTAAAAATGTTATAAAAGAAATATCTATTTAAGATCTAAAGGAATGTAAAAAGGACGTCCGAAAGACGTCTTTAAGTCGTACTTCAGACGTCCTTTCTTAAGTCTTTTAGACGTCTTTTGGACCAGATATAGAACGTCTTTTAGTTGCCTTTTTGATGACTCAAAGACATTACCATCATTGTCCGCGGACAAAAAGGGACGTCTTTAAGACATCTTTTAGACGTCCATGTGCCCGCTAGGTAATAAATAGACTGTACCTCCGAAAGAGTGAAATACAGAAAAAAATTATGTATAATATAATTTTTGTAGGTTTCTTTAAGCTCTACAACTTTTCTATTTACACCAAAACTCTAAAATGGTTTTTTTCATACGAAAAAGGGGAAAAACTGATTCCTTGCAATTTTGGCGCCCTCTAGCTTTCGCACATTCAGTTGTACAGTAGGGTGGGTGTCCCAACTTTTTGGTTTTAAGCTAGTCACGTGTGCCACTAACGATTTATGAAATAATCTCGAGTAAGGTATTTTTTTCCAAAAAAAGCCAGATTGACTGGACTAAAATAAACCTTACAATCAAAATACATCTTTCGGATACAGTATATATGTCTTTAAGATTTCTTCCAACGAACATAAACATCCTAAGAACGGCTTCTGTAACAGTGCTAATTCTTTCATATTGAAATGCTTATTTTATTTTTTATATTTTTTTATTCATTCACATCCCTAGTGCACAAATGCAGGTATGCATATGGGCGTTGCGCTTAAAGTATATGTAATATTAACCCTAGTAGAAATTTGTCATGGAGTTACTCGATTATTCAAGTGACTGGACAGTTTTTGTTACGGACGCTGATTCTAGGCGGACTGGTAAATAACTGTAAAGTGACTGACCATCGCTCTTCCCTATTGAAAATCCCCATATGGCAGGCGCGGATCCAGAGGGGCACAGTGACATGCCCCCCCCCCGAGAATTCAAACTTCCTGTAATTTTTTAAATAAAAATTTCATTCATAATAGGTCATCAAGCTAGCGTCTAGCAGATGCCCCCCCAATAACTTTGTCTGGATCCGCCTCTGACATATGGGAAACCACATGGGATCCTATGTCAAAAACCATGTAAAACCCTACTTCCATGAAGGAAACCACGTGGTTTCCCATGTCAAACCATATGGGAAATTGAGACAGAATTTTAGATAGGAATAAGCATAGGAGATTTGAACAGTTTGTCTATGCATAAAACCATATCAAATCCTGCATGTTTTTCCCAGTCAAATCCTGAACCAAATCCCATGTGAAAAACAGTATAATTTATTTATAATTATTTTCCCAAGTCAATCCCCAAGTGAAATCCTTTTTCCTTTTTTTTAAATTTTCCCATGTCAAATCCTAAACCAAATCCCATGTGAAAAACATTATCCGCCTTATTGAATATCCCTACATGGGAATCCACTTAGAAATTTACAAGGGATTTCACATAGGATTTTATATGGGATTTAACATAGGATTTCATGCAAGATTTCACCCAGGATTTAATATGAGATATCACATAGTATTTTATTCAAGATCCAATGAAGAAATTTTCAAAGGATTAAAAATTAACTATATTAATCTTCATACTCATTCTGTCTGTTACAGTATGAGAGAGAAAGCATGGTAAAGAGAAAGAGAGGGAGGTATTGTCTCTCCTTTTAGTTTAGTGTAGGAAGGAAAGAGAGACGAATAGGTAAGATAGTAACGCCTATTTCCTTGGTTTACAGAAGAGCATAATGTTTTTTCCATTCTCCGTGTTAGGTAGAAAGAGAGGAACAAAAATTGGTAGGGGAAGGAACAGTAGGGAATTTCGCTTTCAAGCCAAAATACGAAAAGGGCTTATTGGCTTATTGGCTTTCTCTTTTTTACTCATTACTGTGATAAATTTTTCATCTTTTACTAGTTTGCGAATTCGAGGCCCAACAAAAATTCCTTCCTTTAATTTAGCATCAGATATCTCTGGAAATTTTTGTTCCAGGTACTTGAAACATTTCCTTTCTTTATCTAAAGACTTTACAAACTGTTTCATTACCCCTAGTTTAATATGTAAAGGTGGTGGAATTACCTTTGTAGGATCAACTAGAGGTTTTTTTATTTAATATTTTTGGAACCTGGTGTAAAGGATGTTCTTTTGGTCCATTCTTTTTGTACGTAATGTTTTTTTCGATCTCTACTGTCCCACAAACATAAAAAGCAAGGTGTTTTCGTAAAACCTGCTTGTTGGCCCAACATGATACTTATAATTTTAAAATCTCCACAAATTTGCCAATTGTGTTCTTTATATTTAATTTTCTCCAAAACTAATTTAACAGTTTCATAATCTTCTTTAAGTTCAGTGGAATGGGCTACGGGAATTGAAGCAAAAACATTAGTGTTATGAATTAGCACTGCCTTTAGACTTCTTTTAGAAGAGTCAATGAATAACGTCTAGTCTTATGTTGATCTTCATATATGTTTGGTTTCAATTCATTTATTAGTCCTTCAATGTCAGAACAATATACTAATGAAAGCTCATCGTCTTTTGTAAAATATTTCCGAAATTCCTTTTCTCTGTCACGATAAAAGTAAGCTGTGGTGCCTTTAGATAACAAATTTTTCTTTTTTAAAACTGAAGCTAGGTATCTAGCTGCATATTCTATTTTTGCATTTTTCTATCTAGCTGATATTCTGCTCCATTTTTGGGTAATTTCAAATCTCTGATGAGGTTGCTAAGCTCTTCTTGCGTAAAGCCTTCTTTAACCTTTTCTTCCTGATAACCATCTGGAATATAAATATCATCATTGTCTTCTACAATATTACTAACCGCATCACTTATATCGGAA